TTTTTTGGCGTTCTCGTTACCGTCCGCGTCGTTGGATCTTAAAGTCCCTAATTACTTTTAGTGTACAACAACCAGCCATCCCTGAAGGCCCCAAGAGAGTTTGCCTGCCTCAGCTCAGGACGAAGGTTATTCCAAAGAACTGCTCCAGAGGAACTGAAACTATTTTTCATAAAGTTTGAAAAGGGAAGAAGAATAGTGAGTTTTCCGTTGGTGTCTCTCAAAGAGCAAGTGGAGATATTGCAACGATAGTTAGCTTTCTACTCACCTTCCTCGACCTTTATGTAAAGTTTCCCAGCACTCCAGAAACTATTAAGGAATGAGTAGAAGCTTTCGGCGCAACGATTTCTGGGATAGTATGGGAGGACAAGCGTTAATAATGATTGGCTAATGGTTGCCTTGAATACCATCGACCAATCACAACTAACACTTGTCCACCAAACCGATCCCAGAAATCATTACGCCGAAAGCTTGTACCCATTACCCTTGTGGTCTCAGGAGTGAGGAACTGATTATGCAGAAATAAATACAGTGAAGGTCATCAAAGTTAAAGATACAGGCAACTTATGCAGTTGCGAAAAGGAAGCCTGAAAAAATTCAGGTTTGACGAGATTGGAACCCTGACCTCTGCGAAATTTGAGTAAGAGCAAGAGAGTATCGTAAGAAGGTGATTGCTGTTGTTGTTTCTTTTCTTTTTCATTATTGTAATCCTAGATCAATAGCTTCTCTAAACTACTATTTTCAGTCACTACAGTTCTGTCGAAGGGAAATGAGTCGGCGGGACATAGCCTGCGTGGCGTGTCTCCCTCGCGTGCCCTTTTCGTTTTCGCCCCCATCTAGGACTATGACTTTCTTTGTTGGATTATAAATAAACGCCTGCCCATTGGCGCTCGTTGAAGCAAAACAAAAATGACACTCCTTCCTTCTAATTGCAAAGTATTCGAAACAGTCAAGCAAGATCAATCTATGCAAACGCAAACAAGAGTTTGTCATGCTTAAACGTTATAAATTTTAGATTCATCGATTGGCCACGTCACTTAGAACACTTTGTTTCTTTGTGAAACATGTACAGGAATCTACATGGAAGAGGCTTCACAAGACAATGTGGCAGCAGAAAGGTAACTTAATTAAAGATTAGCTTCAGGGCCTTGCGTACCCCACAGGTCGTTTAACAGAGCATTTATTACCACGTA